TGGAAACTTCCCGGAAGCTTCCTCAGGGTCTAGCACGTTTGGGCATTGGCAAGAGCAGCCTCCTGGACGGGCCAGCACTATATAAGACTGGCCCGCCCTACAGGCAAGGTAGTTGGACAKTAGTCAGGTGGTAGTCTTCAGGAYAGCGGAGCAGCACTCAGGAGRAGCGCTGCCCAGGGCAGCKTAGCGYTAGTGGTAGTCTTCAGTGYTGGGCGCCATAGCTGTAGTCTTCAGCGCTGGGCGCTATAGCAGTAGTAGTWGTAGTGATACAGGAGAGGGATGACTGGCGGAGGCCAGTGGTACTTACCTGTGGCGCCATCGCTCCAGCTCCATCTTCGAGGTACCTGCATCAMAGCGCCACCTTCACARGTTAGTACTGGACTRAGAGAGAGAGAGAGTTCTTCTTCTTCCTCTTCTAAGTCCACCATCTCTTCTTCCCCTCTCGCTGCCTACTTCTCAGTATCTGTGGACTACGAGAGAGAGATGTGACCTGAGACTTGAGGACATTGGATACAGACTCGACATTTGGGATTCAGACATTTTGACGAGGGACTATTTGGGCCTGTGCCGAAGACTTGGTGTTGACGACATTCCCATCTTTCCCTCCTCTTCGTCTCATCCCCCTCTTCTTCGTCTGTGTATGTGTGGGGCTGGCGCAGTCTTCCTGTGTGAAGCWCCAGACCCCTTTCACACCCTGGGACGATGATGATGATGTATGTTCAAGGCTGCATTGTAACATTGATTGTTCGGATCATTGGTATCTAAGTCTTCCGTTTGCGCCATCTTGTACTTTGTATTGAGAGGTCGGTTCTTGTTCTGGTCTGCACGTTACAGTATGCAACAGTTTGGTATCGGAGCRGACCTCTCATTCAGAGGACCCGCTCAATCAAGTAGCCAGCTTGCTGATCTATTGATCACTCATTTGTAAAGCAAGTAGGACTTCGTCAAATCTCCAAATTTTTTTTTCGTAACAACTATCTGAAAATTTCTCATATTCGCATTTCGTTTTACCTGAAAATTTCTGATATTAGTAGTTCGTTTTTACGTAACAAATATCTGAAAATTTCTGATAAATCGCATTTCGTTTTGTCTGAAAATTCCCGATAGTAGCATTTCGTTTCTCTGATATTTTGCATACATAGCTGAAATTTCTGATGTAGTATTTCGTTTTTTAGGCATATTGGGATAACGATAGAAGTGGTCATATTCTCGGAAACCGGAATTATTCTCAGAAACTGGATTTCGTTCTTTTCTGAAAATCGCAACTTTACTCCATTTCGCAAAATTTTTGTTTCAAGATCGCATTTTGTGAAAGCCGAAACTTTGCGGAACCTAGCCTAGATCTCGTTCATAGTACTCTTCTGACATGTCCTACTCATAATAGATCGACAGATATACAAAAAAAAAAAAAAAAAAGGAAATAGTCCTGTTTATTTTTTTATTTATCTGTTGATTAGGGCCGGAGGAAAGTATTGTTGGGTTGGTTTCCTACCTGCGTTTTCCCTCCCACCCACCCCTTTGCATGCATTCCCGGGTTGGTACGTGACACGTCAACAGTGACACGTCAGCTACAGTGACACGTCAGCAGGCCACGTCAGCTACAGTGACACATCAGACACAGTGCCACGTCAGACACAGTGCCACATCAGACAGTGCCACGTCAGACACAGTGCCACGTCAGACACAGTGCCACGTAAGCAGTGCCACGTCAGCATTGCCAAGTCAGCAACATGACGGGCCTGCCAGGCCAACTGGCCAATGAGTCCATTGCCGACTACAAACAGCGTTTCCAGGCTCAGCTCGCTCTCATCGAGGCTGAGGAACAACGCCAGCTGGCAGCCAAGGCTGCCCAGCTACAGGCTGAAGCAGCGGCAACAGCAGAGAAGCTGCGGCTACAGGCCGAAGCAGACGCAGATGCCCAGGCTCGCCGCAAGGAAGCCCAGGATCTGCTGCAGCGGCATGAAGCCACCAGCATCGACAGACTCAAGTTCTGGCACTTTGAACCGAACGGCGACGAGGCAACACCGGAAGAGCAGCATAAGGAGTTCCTCTCCAAACTCGTGACACGGTTGTTGTATGCTTGCAACCACCAACGGTCCGAGTTGGAGAGACAGAACCAGGAACTGCAACAGCTGTTCCAGGATCTGAAAACACAGCACCAGGAGTTGGCGAACCTCCGCTGGATGGTGCAGAGCCACGAGGATGCAACACGGGCACTCAATTCCCGTGTACTGGACCTGGAACAGGCTGTACCAGGACCAGATGCTGGGGCTTCCAGCAGTGCACCCTCTAGCCGCCAACTGGAGGAACGCGTTGACCACGTAGTGGCAATGCTGGGCGACATCAGCAACTTCGCGGCGCCAACCACCATCAGCAGCCAGCTGGACACGTTGAAGATCGAGGTCCAGCAACTGCAGTCGACGAACACGGATGGCAACAATCCAAAGCAATACAAGATGCCAACCTTCCAACCGGAGAAGTTCGACGACTACACACATTAGGATCCGGTACTCTGGTGGGAAGCGTTCACGACGCAACTGCGGATTCTGCCTGTCGCCAAACACGCGTACATCGGCGCCCTGTTCATGAACTCAAAGGGCGGATGCCAGATCTGGTTGCCTCACCTGGCAGCCACCCACAACGTCGACGTCGCCGATCTGAAGGACAAGATCACATGGGAAGAGTTAACACTGCTGTGGGAGAAGCGGTTCATCGTCGACGACGCACCAGCACTAGCCATCAACCGTCTCTTCACCATGTCTCAGGGCAAAACAGCAACACGTGACTGGCTCACGGAATGTCACAAGATCGCGGCAGTGCCCGATCTGGGCTTACCATTCATGCATCTACGTCGTGAGTTCTATAACAGGTCATGCGCTGCGCTGAGCCGGGCACTTGGTGATCGCGAGCAGTATGCATCTTTCGCCGAAATCATCGACAAGGCAAGAGAGATCATCAAGACCAACAGGGCGGCTGCACACGAGAAGTCCACGTGGCAGCCAACCTATGTGGAGAAGGTAAGAACTGGTCCGCGACAGCAGCAGTTCGCTGCAGTCCAATCGGACAGTGGAGAAGACCCAGCAGCCACTCCAACATCACATGAGGGAGATCAAGTGGCTGCTGTCCAGCCGCGAAGCAACAAACCCCGAGTGAACGGGAAGGCAAAACCAGCATCGCAGGCCGGAAACAGACAGCCAGCACCACCATGGGTCAAGTTCGGCTTGACCGAGGCCGAGTACAAGTACCGCAACCGTTACGGCTGCTGTTACTGGTGCAACAACACCAAGCACAAGACCTCCATTTGCCAGGATCAGGCCAAGGAGGATGTGCGGCCTCGTCTTAACTCGGGAAACTGAGTTGCGCAGGAGGTGAGGCGACTCCACCTCTCACTCCGCCAGATTCGGCCGCCTTGCTAGCGGCCTCCTACACATCCGGGGAGGATGCGTATGTCACAAGTCCTCGGTACACTTACGAGGATTATGCTGTCCACTTGGTCCCACCGCTGGACCAACCGCTCTACGTGCAACACTACCGCATGCACGGTTTCATCACCATCGACAACCGATTCGGCAGCTTCGCCGTCATCTACCGCCGGGGATTCAACGTCATGGTCAAGACTTGAAGAGCTCGACCCGTTGACTTTTGAGGACTTCCCCAGCCCCGGTCCGGTCCATTGCCGAAACCGCATTGCAACGTGCTCAAAGCACAATTGCGGGATTACTTGCACACTGCAGTACCGACTCCGTTGATGGACGCCGGAGTAGAGGTTGTCGACCTTCACGCCTACATTGCGAAGATCGACCGCGAGTTCAAGATGCAACGGTACGACGACATCAACGCACCATTGTTATATGTACGCATTCAGATCGGAGAGGCGACCTGCAGCGCTTTTATCGATTGCGGAGCATCTCGCAACTACATGAGTCAGGACTTCATGGTATGCACCGGCCTTGGCCCACGAGTCCGAAGGAAGTCCCAGCCCACGCAAGTCACGTTGGCGGACGGTCACACGCACAAGTCAATCGACCGGTGCATTGATGACGTCCCAATGTACTTTGCCCCTCACGCAAGTGAGGCGGTGTCCTTTGACATTCTGGACACCAAATTTGACATGATCTTGGGCATGTCATGGCTGCGAAGCGAGGACCACCCTGTGAACTTCTACCGCCGCACCGTTCACGTTCGTGATCGGAACGGAGTACTAGTCCCATGCACGGTAGCTCCTCCTCACCCTTCAGTCAGCTGTCACGTGGTATTCGCCGCAAGCATGCGAGCTTCCATCATCAGAGACGACATCGAGGAGATGGGGGTGTGTTTTCTCCACGCCCTCCCGCCCCATGACGCTTCATCGACGAACTCACCTTCGGATCCACGCATCACCGAGCTTCTCGACGCCTACAGCGACGTGTTCGAAGGCCCGCACGGAGTAGCACCGGATCGACCCATCCGCCACGAGATCATCCTCGAGGACGGGGCCGTACCTCCGCGCGGTTGCATCTACCGAACGAGCGAGGAAGAGTTAAGTGTGCTTCGGGCACAACTCGACGACCTTCTGGAGAAAGGCTGGATTCGGCCTAGCTCATCGCCATACGGTGCTCCTGTTCTCTTCGTCCGGAAGAAGAACAAGGATTTGCGGTCGCAAGCTCAACGCGCAGACGATCAGAAACGTCGGCCCTCTCCCACGCATCGACGATCTTCTCGAGCGATTGGGCGGCGCCAAGTTCTTCTCCAAGCTCAATCTCAAGTCGGGATATCACCAACTCGAGATCCGGCAGGAGGACCATTACAAGACCGCGTTTAAGATGCGATATGGGCATTTTGAATGGCTGGTTATGCCATTTGGCCTTACGAATGCCCCGGCCACTTTCCAAGCGGCTATGACAACAGAGTTCCGACACATGCTGGATCGATACGTACTTATCTACCTCGACGACATCCTGGTGTACAGCCGGAGTATGGAGGAGCATGTGGAACACCTGCGCACCGTTTTGGAGCGGCTACGACAAGCCAAGTACAAAGCCAACCGCGACAAGTGCGAATTCGTGCGGCAGGAGCTAGAGTACTTGGGACACTATGTGACGCCGCAAGGCATCCGTCCGCTTGAGGACAAGATCGAGGCCCTACGAGTATGGCCCGAGCCCACCAACACCACGGACGTTCGTTCATTCATGGGGTTGGCGGGCTACTATCAGCGATTCATCACCGGATACTCACGGATTGTTGCACCTATGACGCGACTACAATCGCCAAAGGTGCCATTCGTATTCGATGACGACGCACGCCGGTCATTCCAAGCACTTAAGACGGCCATGCTCATGGCACCCGTCCTTAGCATCTATGACCCCACCCTGCCGACGAGAGTGACTACGGACGCTTCCGGCTACGGCATTGGGGCAGTCTTGGAACAGCACGACGGCGACGACTGGCACCCTGTGGAGTATTTCAGCCACAAAGTGCCTCCCATCAACTCGCTTGATGATGCAAGGAAGGAGCTGCTCACATTCGTCATGGCTCTCAAGCGATGGCGGCACTTCCTCCTTGGGCGTCGTAGGTTCACATGGGTTACGGACAACAATCCATTGACCTACTACAAGACGCAGGATACGGTGAGCAGCACGATCGGACGATGGATGTGCTTCATCGACCAGTTTGACTTCACACCGAAACATCTTCCCGGCCTCTCAAATCGCGCAGCAGATGCACTCTCGCGAAGACCTGATCTTTGCGCTATGACACATCATGCCTTCGCATTCGACGAGGAGCTTCAGCGACACTTCATCCGGGCATATGAGTCGGATCCGGACTTCGCCACGCTGTACGCACAGCTATCTTCGGATCACCCGCCGGCCAGCCACCATCGCATTGCCGACGGGTACTTGCTACTCCACTCGAGAGGCAAGGACTTATTGTGTGTCCCACGAGACCGTCGTCTTCGGACTCGCCTTATCGGAGAGTTCCATGACTCGCGACTCGCTGGCCATTTCGGAGTCAACCGCACTATTGCACGGCTTCAACAACGATTCCGATGGCCCGACCTCATTACCGATGTCACTCGGTATTCCGACTCTTGCGAAGTTTGCCGACGCAGCAAACCCCGCAACCGCAATCCCTATGGCGAGCTACGCCCGATGCCTATCCCACGGGAACCCGGTCTCTCCATTGCCGTGGACGTCACCGGTCCGTTCCCTCGCGACCGGCTCGGGCACGACGGCATCCTCACGCTTGTGGACCGATTGAGTAAGTACGCGCGTTTTCTTCCTTGCAAGTACTACTCCACGGCTCCCGAGCTGGCACGCCTCCTGCACACCGGTTGGATTTGTGGCCACGGTGTACCAGAAGACATAGTCAG